TCATTATAAATTGCAAAACTAAAGTAGTAAACTACTAAGAACATGAATCCAAACACTAATTTAACATAAACAAGTAATAAAATTAGAAAAGATACAAAAAATAAGTAATTAAAGCAATAAAATAAGAGAGAGAGAGAGTAAGAAATTCTCATTGATAATGCAAGAAATAATCAAATCTTCAAGTCTCCTTCCTTCAATTCTTCATATTCCAAGCTTTTAACAAGTTTTTCACACTTTCTCTCTCTAGAAAATGAGAGTTTCTCTCTCTAAAAATCCTAACCTAAGATAAAACTACTCTAAGAAGATCTCCCCTTTACAAATGAAGCCAAATGGTTTTATATAACCCCGAAGTAAAAGGACGGAGAACACGAGGAAATGACCCGTCTACAGGTCGGCACGGACGTGCCAAAGGTTTCACGGACGTGTAGACCTGTTAAAATACGACCAGTAGCTACTGCCTGACCTTGCACGGACGTGCTTCATTTGGCATGGACGTGCAGTGACTTGCACGGGCGTGCCACTTATTGGCACGGACGTGCAGCCCTTTTCTGGCGAAATAGCTTATTTTCGGAAGGTCATAACTTCTTCGTTACTCTTTGGAATAAGGCATGTGACCAGTCGTTGGAAATCTCTTGAGATTAACTTTAATTTCCAATTTGAATCACTTCAAAATGTTGAGTATAACAAAAGTTATGGTCATTTAAAGTTGACCTTAGTGCAAAAATCCTTCCAAACTTTCCAAAAGCTTTTCATTTCTCTTTAAGGCACTCATCTTTCTTCCTTAATTGCTCTATCAACTAAGCTTTCCCTTCTCCTTGTTCACTCATGCTTGATAACGTCCATATATAGTGCTAAAAATAGCTACATTACATCAAAAACACAAACAACCCGTGAAGCATACTACAAGAAAACAGCTTAATTCCGACGGATTTTTCGTCGGAAACACCTTGGTTTCCGTCGGAAATCGTGTTTCCGACGGAATTCCGTCGGAAAGTGTCGTCGTAATATAGTTCGTAGGAAAATCGACCTTTTCCGACGAAATTTCCGTCGGAACTACTTTTCCGACGGATTGCATGCATCGGAAAAGGTTTTCGGGGTCTGAAAAAGTCCGTCGGAAATTTCCGACGGAAAATGAGTCCGTAAAAAATTCCCGACGGAAATTCCGTCGAAAAATCCTTTATAAAAAACAAAAAAAAAACTCCCACCACCCCACACCACCAGCCCACTGCACACCGACCCAACCAGAACCACACAGCACCACCAACCCTATCCCACAACCATACACCACCATCGACACCACCAACGACCCTATCCCACCACCATATACCACCACCGACACCAACACAACCAAAACTAATCCCAGAAAAACGAAAAGGCCCCAAAAAAATTGTAAATTACACCACCACCGACACCACAACTAATCCCAAAAAAACAAAAATCCCCCCAAAAAATTGTAAATTAACCACAAAAAACGAAAATTAGCCCAAAAATACGAAAATTTGCCCAAAAATGCGAAAATTTACACAACAAAATCAAAAAATACCACACAAACGCTCAAAACCAGTAGATCTACATATTTAATCAGAATTTCATTAAGTAAAACAATAATTAACCAACAAAAATTAAATCAAATATATAAATATACAATTATCCATTAAAATTTACAATCTATCATTACAATTATAATAAGATCTACAAAAAAAACCTTGAGGGTGGAGGGTGGGAAGCTTGTGATGCACGGTTGTTGTTGGTGTTGCGCCGCTGTTGCGGTTGTTGTTGGTGGTGGTTGACGGATTGGAACTTGTTGCTGAGGTTGTTGTTGCTGTTGGTTGTTGCAGTCTTTGTTGGTGGTTGTTGGAGTTGCGCCGTTGTTGGTTGAAGGAGAGAGAAGAAGAAAGGAAAGAGAAGGAGAAGAGGGAAGGAGAAGAGGGAGAACAAAGGGAGAACGAGAAGAGGAGAGGATGAAAGAGAAGACAGAAAAGAAGAGAAGAGGAGAGGAGAGGAGAGGAGAGAGAAAGTGAAGGGGAAAGGGGAAGAGAAGTGGCGGCTTGTTGAAATGAGGGGGAGGGGGGGTTAGTTGTTTAGGGTTCCGATTTTTTTTTTGAAATTAGTTTCCGACGGAATTTTCCGTCGGAAAATTCCGACGGATATAAATTCCGTCGGAAAATTAAATTTCCGACGGAAAAATCTGTCGGAAAGGACATATTTTCCGACGGATGATTTTTCGTCGGAAATTTCCGACGGATTTCCGACGGAATTTTCGAATTCGTCGGAAATATACGACGGAAATAAAATCCGTCGGAAATATTGATTTTTCCGACGGATTTTTAGGTCCGTCGGAACCATTCCGTCGGTATTCGACCTGATTCTTGTAGTGGCATGGATGGTACAAAATTTGTATAAAAATAGGATAAATAATGAACTTTGATGTCGAATAATCACAAAAACAAGGTTCAAAAGTACCCTAAAACCATACCAAATAACAAGTTATCAAATATCAACAAAAAAATGTTTACCTTCATCATGATTTAACATCTATTGTTTACACAAAATTTAGAGTATTATGTTTTTACATTTATAATATAATGTAAAAAGGTTGGTAGATGTTTCCCTAAAAAAAAAAGTTGGTAGATGTTAAAATTTTAAAAGGAAAATAAGGTAAGAGAGGTTGTGTAAAATGGTGAGTGCTTAGAGCATCTCCAATGGTAAGCTATAAAGACTTATAACTTGCTTTGCCATGTCAACTTTTAAAGCTACAACCTTTTTAAGTTATAAAGTAACCAATGGTAAGCTACAAGAAGTTGTAACTTGATTTGTCACATTAATATTTCAAGCATAAAGTACTCCAATGGTTGGCTATAAAATTTTGTAGCTTACATGTAATTCTTTATTTATTACATTATAAATTAATCAAAAATTTTAAATTTTAAAAAAAAATTTAAAAAAAAAAGAAAAAGAAAAGTGAAACATACTACATTACAAATTTACAAATGAATGAATGTGTTATGTGTAAACCTATTATCTGTAAACTACTATTCAAAAAAAAAAAAAAAAACCTTTGAATTATAGTCATTTTTAAAAAAAATAAAGTCTATCTAGCTTTATCACAGGATTAAGATTACTCAATATCACCTGCTACCAATACTGAAAATAATATTTTAATATTTATTTTTTTAGAAAAAGATAAAAAAAAATGATATTTTTAATTTAATTTATACCAATGGTATATAAATAGGGACTTGCTTGCAAATTAATTAAAATTACAAGCATGTAGTTTACCATTGGAGTGGAAATTGTTGTGGCTAGATTAGGCAACGTTGCTCAAACAAGTTACGTTGCTTGATTTTTTAAAGATAATATCACCAATTAAACATATGACATGTGTATAATAAAAACTATTTTAATTATCTATATTTTTTTCCAAGCTACAATATGCTACAATTAACCATTTGAGCACTTTGTAGCTACAAAATATATTAGGTTGAATATTTGATGTGGCAAGGTAAGCTACAAAGTATTGTAGGTTACCATCGGAGATGCTCAACTATTTAAAATTTTCAAGCAATGTAGCTGAACTCAGCAGTATTGCTCAAGAGAGCATGTATTTCAATAGTGCTCCAATGGTTAAGCAACACTTTTATTATTTTTCATATTTGTAAGCAAGTCCTTAAAAAACACCATTGGAGATGCTCTTATAAGAAAAAGATTAATTAATGCTATGTTTGGATAACAAAAAATGGAAGGAAAGGAAGGGAAGGGAAAGGGAGGGAGACAAACTTCCTTGTTTGGATAATAGGTTGGGGGAGGGAAGGGGAGGGGGGGTGAAGAGATTCATTTTCCCTCCTCCTTTAATAAAGACCATCCCTTCAAAATTGGAGAGATTTGGAGGGAAAATGGAGCTCATCATTTTCTCCACTTTCCCTTCCTTCCCCTTCCTCCTATTTCCCTCCCTTCCATTTCCCTTCTAATTTCTTATCCAAACATAGTATAAGTAAAAGAAAGTGAAAAGATTTAAATGTTATGGAGTATAAAAGGATAAAGAGATCAGTAGTAAAAGGGGTTTGTCAAAATATATATATATATATATATATATATATATATATATATATATATATATATATATATATATGTATGTATGTATATATATGTATGTATGTATATATATATACTATGTTAAGAACACTATAAAACAGATAAAAGAAAATATGTGTTAAACCATTATAAAATGGATGTTAGTTTATTGAATTGATGCCTCGGTATACATTGCATATAGTTTGAGAGATATATCTATAAATGATGTTAAGAATATTATGAAAAGAATAAAAATGAAAACGCCGATATAATTTATTGCTTATGAATTACTCGTACAACTGTACAAGAATGTGGTTAAAGGTACAATAAGTTTTTTTTCCTCCTATTAAAACACATCCTTCCTAAATATAGTTTTTTAGAGTGTCTACATTGATAAAGATAGAGGTAGGATTGATTAAGCACTCTATAAATCTACTTTTTTTTTTTTTTTTTTGGAGGAAACCTACTTCGATTTTGTGGTTATCAGGTGGGATTTAATTAGTCAGATTTCCTTCATTTTTAATTTGAAGAAAACTACATCTATCTAAACATTACTACCTCTACTTAAGATTAATTTACATCAATTTAAATTTTGTGTTATTAATATACTTAAAAAAAAATTTATAACAAAATAATACACCTATCAAAATATATTTGTAATCTTGAATTATAAATATGCACTCTTAAAAACACTACATCTATCAACGTAATTCACACGAGTACAAGACGAATACATTACCCCCAAAACATCTTATCTGGCCTTTTCATCTAAACAAAAAATGATATTACATACACACGTACAAAAAAAAAAAAAAAAAAAAAATACAAACATCCCTAATTACAAACCCGAAAACCATAAAAAAAAATTTTTTTTTTTTTTTTAAATCCTTAAAAAGAAAAGAAAAAATTTCAAATTAAACTATCAATCTTTACAGAAATATAAAGCAATCCAAAGCAATATGCGGATTTTCAACATCTTCAATAGGCGTCAAATCCATATCTTGACTAGAAACTAATCCTCCCATCGCCATTTCCTTAATTTTTGTATTAACACTATTAATCATTTCTTCACTTTCCTTAATTTTTGTATTAACACCATTAATCATATCTTCATTTTCTTTCTTTACCAACAAATTGTTGGTCATATTGGACTGGCCGTTTCGCCTCGTTTTACCATTATACCCTTTACTTATTGGACTAGGAGGCCTAACATAACAATGTTCCCTTCTCATAGATGATGTCAAATTTTTCCCTTGACTATTTCCTTCTCCATTGAACCTTCTACTTGGTGAAGGTGATATGGGCCTCAAGTCCCTAGCACTTCTCAAAACGGGCCGATTGAGCTCAACCTCGGGCTCGCGGCGAAAACTCTTTTGCCGGGTCAAGTTACTTGGTGAGTTACAACGAGGCCTCTTTTGTGGGGCCGGTCTTACTACTACCCTTTGTGGGCTTGGCGTCGCCCCATGAAACTCCTTGGGCCTATTGGGCTTTTTGTTAGGTAGAGAGTTTCTTCTTGGATTTACAACCTTGATTGGATGATAATCACCATTAAGAATTTGAGGATTTTCCTTAACACATGACCAAAGAAAGTCATTACTAAAAGATTGGTCTAGCTTTGAGCTTATGACCGACGAGGAGGCTGAGGTAATGGAGGAAGCCGAGGAGAGCATAGAACACGAGCTCGTGCTCGTGCTTGAGCACGAGCTCGTAGTAGTAGTGGCAGGATAGTAGGAGTTGGCACAAGATGACTTAGCCGAAGATGAAGAGGTTTTAGGAGGAGAAGAAGGGGAAATTGTTGCTTGTGAGATCACAAGTTTATCTTGTACTAAAGGAGTAATATTAGTACAAGTGTTATTGTTGTTATTTTTCTCAATGCATTGACATTTGCATTCTTCTTGATGTTGTTGTGATTGTTTTTTCTTAGAATTTTTCTTGGATTTGCATTTGCTAATGCAAGAACCCATTTTCGAAATAACAAATAATAATGATAAATTGGGATTTGAATTTGAGTGAATTATCAAAATGTTGGGTGATATTACAAGTATATATATATAAAAGGCAAAAAGGTAAAAAGAAAGGTGATAGCTTTTTTAATCTTCTTTATCTTTTTTTTTTCAGATTATTTGAAATGAATTTGCCGGGTAGAATTCCGTTGAGCAACGGTTATTAGAGGCATGGTTTACCATAGAAGATTTTGTAATCATTTTCGTTTACCTTTTGAGACATTAGTGGTGTGATTAGTTGAAATGTGGGGTTTAATTGTTCCATTAACAAAATAAATAAATTATAAAAAGGAATGTCCCTTTGTTAGTGGTATTTATTAACTGAGCCCCCAATGTTCTCACCTAATACTATTTCTTGAGCAGTTGTTTGTCTATGTTGGAGTGACAAGATTGTACAACAACTATTCTCAATGAAATTGCAAAAGTGGGGTTTATCTTGTCTCAAATCGAAAACAAATACTACTATGGATCTCAACTTATTCTGTTGGTAAGATTTAAATTGTTACTTGTGACTCGTGATTGAGTTTATTACAGCGCTCGAACAAAGTCTTCAAGCAAGACTAGACCATTATTTGGTTCAAATAGCAAGTCTAAAACGATATGCTCCAACTTAGGCCTCATTTGGTTGATATGAGAAATAAATTCTCGTAGATAGTTGTATTTCATAGGAAGTTATTTCCCAAATGAAAATCTAAGTTATAAATAAATATGTTGAAGCTTAAAGGTTTTAATTATGATAGACTTAAACTTAAGCGAACTCAACTAATAACGATTTCTATAAGTGTATGATTAGAACAGGTGAAGTGGACCTTGGTGGTGGAAGAGTAACCTTGTCTAAGAAGACATGAAGAGAATATCTTAAGAAGGTTAAACAAGATAAAAGAAGAGTTTCTTAACAGGAACTTAGTTCTCTAAGAAGAACAATCTAAGTTCTCTAACAGGAACTTGAAGACAGCAGGAACTTGGTTCTGGTCTACGTGAAGCCCAAGTAATCTTTAATTACAGAATAACGACGCAACAACTTAATTTAGCTAAGATTTTATCTTCTAGATTTGTTGTAAATATGTTAAGTAGGTTACGCGTGAATCTTATTAGAAACATGACAATGATGCTTGGCAAATATAATTAAAATCGAAAAGATAAAAAGATAAGTTTTTAGGAAAAGATTTTCAAAACAATTTATTTCTTAAACACAAATTTTTGTATGTGGCTGGCCACACGGTGTGGCAACCACAATTTTTATTTATTTATTTATTTTTAAAAAATACCACAACTCTTCTATCTCCTTTTTTTTCTTAGCTTCTTCTCCAAGCCAAACCACACATCACCAACAACCATATCTCTACTCCACCCATTTTCTCTCTCTTCTTATCTTAGCTTCTTCTTTAAGCCAAACCACACATCACCAACAACCATATCTCTACTCTACCCATTTTCTCCCTCCTCTTTGCTAAACTGCTACAATTAAAGCCCGAAATTGTAGAAATTGGGTGTAAATTGTTGTGAAAAATTGTGATTAATTATCCTTAATATCATCAACAACATTTGAAGTAGCGAAATCGATGAGAACCAAAGAAATTTTAGCTCGTTTTCTTTGTGGAATCTTAGATCGAACATTCTACGTCAAAAATTGTAGGGTGTTACTAGTTTGTTCAGGGGTTACTTGTAGGGTGATACTGGTTTGGTCAGGGGTTATATGTAGGGTGTTACAGGTTTTTGTCAGGGGTTACTTGTAGGGTGTTATTGGTTTTGGGCGGGGGTTACTTGTAGGGTGTTACTGGTTTGGTCGGGGGTTACTTGTAGGGTGTTACTGATTTTGGTCGGGGGTTACTTGTAGGGTGTTACTGGTTTGGTTGGGGGTTACTTGTAGGGTGTTATTGGTTTTGGTCAGGGGTTACTTGTAGGGTACTGGTTTGGTCATGGGTTACTTGTAGGGTGTTACCGGTTTTGGTCAAGGGTTAATTGTAGGGTGTTACTGGTTTGGTATGGGGCCTACAAGCAACCCTTGAATAAGTAACAAGTAACCATTGAATAAATAATTCATACAAGTAACCTTTGAAGTAACTCATATAAGTAACCCTTGAATAAGTAACCCTTGAATAAGTAACTCATGCAAGTAACCCTTGAATTAACCCATACAAGTAACCCCTGAAAAAAAAAAAAAAAAAAAAAAAACTTGGAAAAAAAAAATACAAGTAACTCCTGAAAAAAAAAAAAAAAAAAAAGTAACCCCTGAAAATACAAGTGACCTTTGAATAAGTAATCCATACAAGTAACCTTTGGAGAAAAAAATACAAGTAACTCCTGAAAAAAAAATACAAGTAACCCCTGAAAACAAAAAATACAAGTAACTCCTGAAAAAAAAAAATACAAGTAACCCCTGAAAAATACAAGTAACCCTGACAAAACCAGTAAACCCGTTATGCGCGTGAATACTAACCCCGTTATGCGCGCGTCATACTCCGTAATCTGTTATTTTTACTGACTTGGCAGCAGGCCACACCGTGTGGCCTGCTGCACCAAAAAAACTCTGTTTCTTAAAAACTACTTATCAAAAGATATTATTCTATTTGATAATCTATCTTTATCTAGTTTTCCAAAAGATTTTCTTTAAACTTGATTTACTTAAAACCGTGTTTTGAGATTTAGTCAAATTAACATAATTATCTTTTTGAAATCCCTACTTGCTATACGAGCTAGACTTGTATAAATAGTAGAAATCTCATTTCATATTTTTTGTGAGTTTATGCGTGAAGAATTCATTTGTGCTTTAATTGTGTAAGTTTTTCCAAGCTTAAAACTTTGTCATATTAGTTTCGGGTTTCATGCGTAGCTTGCCTATCATATACTAGTGTCTTATATTTTGTATTATTAGTTGGGTTATTGGGTGAGTGTATGAATTATATTTTGCATACCATGTGTAAGCTTCTAGTGTGAAGCTGAGAGATAGTACTTTGGGAGTACGAGTGAATCTAAGTGTGGGACTTAGATTGGGTAGGAAAGGGTCCTACTGTGTAGCAAGTTCAGTGTGGAGCTTATGAGTAAATTAAATGTCTGTTTATAATAGGTTGTAATTTGGTATTGCCCTATTATAGTGAAGTGATTTGGTTTTGGAAATCCCTTAGAAGGGTCGAGGTTTTACTTCCAGTTGGGCCCTGGAAGGTTTTCTCGTAAAAATCTGTGTGCTTTGCAAGTTCCTTTACAGTTTTTTTATATTTCGCAAAAAGTAGCTACATGAACTCACTACAATTCACCTCCCCTCTTGTAGCGTTCGTCTCAACTAACAAAATAGCAAGTCTAAAACGATATACTCCAACTTAGGCCTCATTTGGTTGACTTGAGAAATAAATTCTTGTAGAAAGTTGTATTTCACAGGAAATTATTTCCCAATGAAAATCCTTGGAATTTGTTTAATTTGTTTGGTTAGGAGTCTTGTGACAATGAAAAGCAGAAATTCCCATGAATTTTTATTGATCTAGGGGTGGGAAGTAGAATTCCCAAGAATTTCAACTTTCCTCATTTTTATTTCTTTGTGTAAACCAAACCAATACCCAAATTATAAATTCCTATGAATTTTCACTTTCCCCCATTTTATTTTGTCAACCAAATAATCTATTAGTTGAAATTATGGCTTCATCCAGCACAACTTTCACTCAAGTATAATGAGTTATGTATGTGGTATTTTGTTGCACCACACCATCAATTAATGATGTGACGCTGATGCACACTTATTGTAAGTCATCAACTTTATGATCCAAGAAGCTATTGTTAAAGTATATAATGTATTGTGTTTTTATCAAATACCCCTGAATTTTAACTTTATCCACCACATATCACAAAATTTTTAAATTCACAACATACCATTTAATTTTTCGAAAATGCCACAACATGTCATTTTTGTGATTCTTATTAGTCATTAACATTAATTGGGCCACGTGGCAGTGTGTAATTGGTTCTTATTAATATTACTTAATTAATTATGCAATTAATTAACTTTATAAAATTATTTTAAAAAGATTTTTAAAAACCTCCACCATCCCAGCCTGACACCGGTGCACACTAAGCAACCACCACATCCTTGTACCTCACATCACATGCAACCGCCCCTCCAAAACAACCACCGTTCGACGGAACGCCCCCCCTCCCCTATTCATCGGTCCCCTCCCTCCTAGAAACAACCCCTCCCCTATTCACCATAAAAATTCGACCATAACAACCCCTCCCCTATTCACCATAATGTTGGAGTTCATTTGGTCAATTTCGACCATAAAAATTCCAGATTTGGAGTTTTTATGGTCGAATTTGACCATGAAAATCCAAAGAAGAAATTTTCGAAGGTATGCACTTTTTTTTTTTTTTTGTATTTTTTCGTTTTTATTATTGTGGTTTTTGTTTGTTCTCTGATTATTTTGGTCTAAATTCATAATTTAAGTTAACTTTGATTTTTGGGGGTGAATTTCCTTTATTTAAAGGTTATTATTGTTTATGTGTTTAATTTCATGTACTTTATTCAATTTGGTAGATGTATTGTTTTTTTTTTCGTTTGATTTTTTTTGTTGCTTTTTTTTTTTAATTTTGTAGTGTTTTCGATAATTCCCGTAGTTTCATTCATTTTTTGTTTGTTTTTTGTGCGGTTTTTTTTTTATATTATTTGATATATATTTTTATTTGTTTTTTTTTATGTGTTGTTATTTTTAGATATTTTTTTAGATCTTGTTAGGTTTCATCTTTATTTTGAATCTTGATAGGTTTGGTTTATTTTTGATTTTTCTTGGTTTTAATGTCGTAGCTTTTGTTTTTTTTGGTTTAATTCCAGATCTAAAGTTTGCTTGTGGGTATTTATGTGTTTTTTTGTTTTCTTTGGTGGTTTTGGGTGGCGTTAGGTGGATTGTGGGGGCGGTGGGTGATGGTTCGTAAGGGAGAGGAGGGTGGTTAATTATGTATACAGTGGGTGAAGGGGG